GGAATGGCTTCGCGTACGTTCCATAGGGATCTCTGTCCCGAGAGCCTGAAGGCTGACAAGAAATAGGGGATATCATGAAACTTTCACTTCATACCGAGTCGGGGTGCTCGGAATTACTGTCGTTTCTTGAGTAGCCGAATCATCCTGCCGGCGGGTTTTTATATTTGTGGAGTTTTCCGGTGCCTCTGAAGTGATTCCGTGAGTAAAAAAAGCCAAGTCGATTATAACCCTGACGAGTTTCAAGAGATTCAAAAAACCCAACTTGAAGTTCCTGATCACTCGCTCTTGGGGTTTGCGAGAGATTCCCATAGATTCTGAACATAGAGATCCGACGTCGTGCAGAGTTAGTACACGGCACGGAAGTCATTCACTGAGATAAGGTCAAGAGGATTCTGTAATTCCCGCGCAGGCAGTCCTAGGAAACCCATCTCAAGAAAAATGTACGGTCTAATTCTCGTCCATGATCTGTCCGGTCGTGCTCTTCACTATAGCCACCGTCGGGAAAACCACCTTCACGCCAGAGGGATGCCCGAGCTTTTTGCGCCTACCTTCGGATAGATCCATCTGCGATTTGAGCGCGGACGCCCGCAATTAGGTACCAGCTCAGCCGTCACATTGCTCCAATCCCAGAGCTTAGAGAGGTCGCTGATTGAGCTGATCGGGAGGTCAGATTTCTACGTGAATGTGAACTACGGTAATAAAAGGAAGGGCGGCCGAAAATATGGCGACGAAACATTTCGGTGATTAAGGTAGACCTCGAAGATTCTCACCCTCCGTTTGAAATGCTTCACTGCAGCACCCACGTTTGTCGCCGTGAGCACACTTTTGCAAAACCTTCTTCAGCTTGGCACCACTGGTTGATTGGGGTGGTTTTCCATCAGGGAGCTTCGGGCCGATTATATTTAATGAATTACGATAGTCTTGGATGAATACACCCTTGAAAGTTTATCTTGATCAACACGCTTTCCACGAAGAAAAAACTTACATTCTCCAAGTCGCTCCAGTCAAGTGGGATCAAATTTGCGACAACTCTAAGATGTCCGGAGCTATAGAAGAGCAACGTAGACTCGTTACCAGCCTGCCTACGAATGGCAAACATATGTGGCAAGCAAGCACTTTGCCTACGAGACTGATAACGAGTCTAACCGGCGCCGAACTTGTCGGAATCAGGCCGACAAAAATGCAGAATACCCTCGAACCGGGCGTCGGGACCGTACCTGTCAACTTATAATTAGTTTTTCCCGCGTATGGTTCGTATTGAGTGTTGGAAGCGTACATGGTACAGACCGTTCCGACGAGGGCGCGGCATAGATTTAGGTTTGGTTTGAATTCGGTACCAATGGGTGGGAGGGCGGCGAATGCATAACCCCGCCAGTTGTCATGTCGGGTTTCAGTGCGCATGCCATCGTATCCCAGGCTACCCGTCTATTTTTTATAAACTCCTTTTGTTCCACTTCTCAATGCCCCCTCCCCACCATTTTTCCGCTCCATCAGCACGTCCACACAGCTTCGTTACTATTTCCTAGACTAGTATCCTGATTCTCTTGTATTCATCATTCACCCTTGCCCGCCTACCCCGCGTCGGCCTACACATTGGTTAGCTACGGACAATGTTACCCCTCATCATCTATTACAGCACATTGGCAAACGCATGCGCTTAAGATTCCGATTCAACCTTCTCCAGTACGGTGGTCATGCTGCCTGCCGTGCTCGGAACGGGATCCGACTTCTAATGGGCTACATAGTACCAAAACAGCAGTTGCAATCAGCGAGGCCGAATAATCGTACCTGCCACAAGGGGGTCCAAAGATAAGAAAAAATGATATCACCTACAATTTTTTTTCGCTGGCCCATTAGGCAGTCAACCTACCAACCTACCGTGGGAAACCTTCCTTTTTGGGAACGGGTATCCCCGGAAGGCGCCTTAAGTAAAAGCCTTCGAGCTCCTCATGCGGTACGACCACCAGCGGCAACAAATTTCTAGCATCTTAGTAGTTGACCTATCTATAAGATTCCGCCTCTTTATGGTGCCTATTCACTCCAGCCTCCAGGAACCTCTGCTGGTGCGAAGCACACCTCAACGTTAGCTGGACGGCGCTAAGTACGGCCAAATATAGCTTCGTTCAACTTCCCTGAGCTAGGATTATCTGATATTCCAGTCATTCAGCCCGAAACTTACCTCCTTCTCGCCATTTTGGAGCTCCATTACTGCCGTGAAATTTCCGACCGTAGTCCTGACCTTCCCAAATGAATTCTAGAGGCGGTCAAATGTGATCTGGATGATTCGGGCCCTAGGGCACTGTCATCAGCCATAGTGACCTCAGTCTGATATCCCGAATGAAAAATTGCCGCACTTGCATATGTCGAGTCCCCACATTTGTCCCAAACTACGACGAACATTGCTCTCAGGCTGGTCTAGCCCCTAGGATGTCGTGTAAAGATCTGTGGAAGTCTTAGCAACGTCGAAAGACTAGCCGCAGGTCAGAAGTATGACCAGGGCTTCAACTTGGGCCGAAATAAAATTGCATACAAATTTTTTTTCTGGCGGTCGGGGACCAACCTACCTACCCTACCCCATATGGGCAATGCTTATCTTTGGACCCCCTTGACCTGCCACGAATTATCATACTTCCGCGCGGGACGGGGATTGATCTACGTGAACTGACCCCGAATTTGAAACTCCACTGGAAGAGCACTTCGTCCAAAATTTCGGCCCGTCATCCAATAAAACGCGTCAAATCCAGGCGGTGAATACGATTACGGCAAGTTGATGTTATGAATCTACGAATCGAACACTGCGTTTCGCACAGCGAAGAGGCTGAGAATATATCGAAGAGGCTGAGAGAAGAGTGTTCGGTTCTCGTCTAACCGTTGCGCGACGTCTTGCTCGCCTTCGGGCTGCTTCACATGAAGGTGCGTAACTTAGAACTGCACAGTTCGACATGAATCCGTGAGGTAATTTGTTCGAAACACGTTAATTTATCTTTCCGGCAGGAGCGGTCCTTCCAGGACACGATAGTGACACGACTCGGAGATAATGTTGAATACATTTGAATCTGACATCCCGGTGATACCGCAATTATCATTGTGGACGGCTCGTTCTATTTCTGACAATGGCAGTACGTACAAATGAGTTAACCATAGTTCCTGGTACCGGATGAGGTACCAGGTCTCAAACACGAGCAGTCGATTTTCTGATCTGTCTGATCGTGGCAGCTCCTGGGCCCGGTGGCTGGCTTGCTCAATATATGTCCCTCAAGCTTCAATCTTCAAGCATCTATTTCTTTTGAATATAGTTGTTTGCTACCGCATACGTCAAGGCCTTTCCTGTCGTTTGCCTCGATTTTCCTCCGTTAAGAGCCCCTCTCACTTGCCTCTCACTCCCTGGTCTACCCCCGCCCCCATGAAAATCTCGGTCGTGAAGTGGCAGCATAGCAAATTTAGAGATGAACTGATTACGAAGAGCAAATAGATGAGGCTGTAATATGGATCGCCTTAGTCTGGGTAGCGCGCGAGGAGCCGAGTCGGCCGAGACTTGCGAACAAGCTTCAGATTCCGAACAACCTGAATAATGTATAGTCCAAAGGCTCCGGTCTAGGCGAAGGTACCAGGGGGTGCCCGGAGGGCGGCTTGAGGATTCAAAACATGTTCACGGAATACTCGGCGCCGGGAGGCCCTGCACCAAATGCGACTCGGTCCTCCTGGAGTCCTGGTTGAGGCAGGCTTTTTTTTTTTTGCAAGTGGAAAATTTTCAAGCTTTTCTTGTCTAGATGCGTCGTTTTCAACATCAACACGACTCACCTTGTATTTATCCCCATTCGCCCACTAAAAACAGATTCCCTTGGTGGAAATTTTCCAACGAACATGAGCGTCGAGCTGACTTCACCAGTATAACTGGGATCTCTTTTTCAACACTGGGCACTCGATAATTACACCGGAGATTCCCATATTTAGGCACAGCCGAGATGCAATTCGAACACCTAACTATCGAGTTACAAGGTGACAAAATCATCCTGAAAGGGGAGTTCATTCTAGTTTTAAGTTACAAAATAAGTGGGACTGATGGTACCAGTCAGATTAGAAGAAGGACGAGCCTGAACAGGGGGCTTAAACTACTTGTATCAGGATTAGAAAACATGCATTTGAAACTTGACATATCAGTTGCACCGAAAGCAAACCTGGGGCCTCCGTCCGGAGAGTTTGATGCTGAACAATGCAGGGGGACCCATCATTATCGATTTTGACTCTGCCAAGTTAGAGCCCCGGGAGAAGCAAAAGATGACGAAACGCGAGGTCCAGATGTTCCTGAATATGTTCGAAGATTTATACCCGTCCCCCTGTCTTTCGTCCTTGCGTACCTGGCGAGTCGGATGCTGACAATAGAGCAAAGGTGGAAGCTCTGGCCCGTCGAAGACAAGAATTGTCCTACCGCAAAAGAATAGAAAGAAGATTAGAAGTACCCGAGGGGAAAAAAAGACTAGACAGTCAACAGAGAATTCGAACCACCACACCTGAAATATGTTTAGGAATATTAGCTACCACCAGATAAAGGCTCTGATACCAATGGCACGGGCAAGGCTACAGAGATCATACCGTGTGGGGAGCAAGTGCGGAAAATGGAATTAAAAAAAACCTCGTCGGAAGACGTATGCCCTAGGGCGGAATCGAACCACCGACCGCGCCTGAAACATACTGCTCGAAACCACACATTGAGTAGCACAGACTACCACTAGACTAGGACGACATTCTATCAATGAAGAATGTTTGGTGTAGAGTCTAAGGAATGGATCCGGATGCTCCTTTGATTTGTCTTGAATTGTACAATCTGCAGTAAATCTCCCACTTTTAGGCTCAGGTGAGACTCTAGACTACGGCTTGAATCTGAACTATGAACCCAAACAGAAGCGCATCCGCACCGACTTATTATAAGATGCGTACCAACCAAAAAAGAAATGGGAACAAAAGAAAAAATGTCAAAAGAAAAAATGTCAAATAGCGAATGTCCTAGAGTGGAGTCGAACCACCGACCGCACCGAACCCAACGTCATTAAGCAGTGCGGTTTTACCGTTATACCAGGACGGCATTTCTTTGCAGGAAGAACGGACCGTCGAGAGTGTAAGGCGCGGATGTATCCTCCGAGTTTCTCCGTTGACGAGGCCGATTTTGAAAGTTGAGACGGTTCAACTTTATACGGCTCGTGAGTTTAGTCTAGACCAAGGCCTGAATTTGAACTGCGAACCTACGGAGAGGTCTGCGGTATGTGATGTGCGGAAAAAATTACGCGCCGAAAGACAAAAGAAAATGGGAAAGAAAAAAAAAACACCATTCTCGAAAGCGAATGTCCCAGGGCGGAGTCGAACCGCCGACCGCACCTGAATATCAGACTTAAGGTCAATTATGCGGCGCGGGCTACCGTTAGACCAGGACGGCGCTGTGGTAAGTTTGAATCTGCGGTGTAGAGGTGGAGGCACGGCCCTCATGCGGTTGATTTGAAAGGTGGCGTTGGAGTTGGAGTTACAGCACGCTAGCTTGTTCGGCAATTGGCCATGGAGTGACACGCCGGTCGATTGGTGCGAGAAAAAGCTTAATAAAGCGAACGAGCCAGAATAAATACTTGGTGGTGGAGTCGACGTGTTGACCTGGCGAACGACGTAGAGCGAGTGATAGGCGCGGAATGACTGGGAGTTTGAACCTGAACAACTTGAAGCGTGGCCAAAAATACAATATACAATGGTTCGCGGCGTTGCTACTACGCGTAACGACCTCTCGAGCATGAGTTGAATGACACAACGAAAATTAGAACGCTCGCCTCAGGCTCATCCATCCGCACGAACCGGCGTCGCACCGTCCTCCTGGCTAAATCCACGATGTGCCGCGTCTCCGAAACGCCCTGGGGAGACAACACCTCTCGACGTCATCGAGTCGTCGCGTAAAACGAAGCGCCCTCGGTCTCCAGAAACAGCGGCACCACGTCCTGCGTGTTGTGTCGCCTGAAGTCGCGCGCATGATGGCGGCCAGGACACTTACGCCGTAACGACATAGCAGTGGAACGGGGCACGCGTGGGGCAGCTCGTCGGACCGCGCGCGCATATCTGCAGGTTTGTGTTGTGTTGGGCAGGGGCAGGGGGTTTGCATCTGGATTCTGACTGTCGTCCCGGACCTCGGTGCGGCGCGGCGTTATATACTGGGAGGAAGTTGTCTCTTGTCTTCTCTTGAGTCTTGTCCGTCGCGACACCCAGTACGAATCGCGTCGAAGCAACAATAAATGCGAAAGCCTGAAAAATGTTGTTGTTGTGAGCGTTCGGGAGCAAGAGTGGTGCACAGCCACCGACCCTTCCCTTCCGTCAACTTCCATCTCAACCTCCTCCGCTCGCTTCACGGAGACACTTGCCCCGGGGACGATGCTGGAACTCCCAAGTGCAAAGGCGGTATTCTTCAGTGAACACTTCTCGGCCCCAGCGAGGAACATCAAGCAGAAAATGCGAATACTGAGTACTGAACGACAATGTTCTCTGACGCCTTTTCCTTCAAATGAGACGCCTAGGACTTACTTCTTGACGCGCCTGGCGGACTTTGGATGTCTCTGAACTTGCCCTTCGTAGTACTAGTGAGTGCCTTGTGAGTTTGAATCGCGCTCCAGATGTGATTGAAGCGCCCAAGGAAATAACGCCCGTGGCGCAGCCCTGGGACCCGCTCCAGCGCCGCGCGCCTCGCGTCCCCCGCGCTGATGCATCTCACCCTCCCGCCCCCGACTCGGACCCCCTGCCCGCGCCCCGCCTTCGCCTTCCTCCTTGGCTCCTTGGCGTGTGCATTTGCGCTGGCGACGAAGCGGTCTCCGTCGACGGCGTCTCCTGCTGTGGCTTCGCCGTTGTTTCCGATGCGCAAGATTGGCCTTCCCTTGGCCGATCGCCAATGACGCGTCCATGTTCCCGTCCTCGCTCATCCCGTCCCCGTCCCCGCCTTCGCTCTCCTCTCCGATACGCAAACTCTCCTCCCTCCCGCTCGCCTCCCCGCTCTCCATGCCTTCCCCGCCCTCACCTACCCGTAAACCCTCCCTGCCCACCTCCCCGTGCTCCTATGCTATGTCCCCGCTCTCCACCTCCCTCACCGCCGGCCGCACTCTCCCCCGTCCAAGCCCTGCAAGCCCGAGCTGCGCCACCTGTCCCCGAGTGCGGCGGCGGCGGGCAGGCTATCGCCCATGCACGCGCGCGCGAGTTCGCGGCTTGTGAAGGTGTAGGATGCGAGCACGCGGCAGTTCGCGGTTGGTGCGCGTCTAGCGCTACGCTCGTAAGGGTGTAACGCGCCAGCTCGGGAGGGTGCGTATCTATTGCGGTACTTATTTATGAGGGTCTACGGGGACATCATTAGGCGGGTCCGCGCCCGAGCACCAGCTCCGCGGGTGGGCGGGGCCTAGTGGAGACGAGACGAGGACGCGGGTGGGTAGTGCCAGTGCCGCGACGTCCTGCGTCGTCGTCCTACGCGGAGACACCCGTCCTCGGTCGGCTGCGATACGCGGACGCGTCCCATCCCAACAGGCAGGGATACTGAACCAAGCGCCCCGGGCAGCGTCTAGCTCGCCCTGTCCGCGCAGGCGTCCGGGGCCAGCGCTGTAGACGCACGATAGATTCAGTTACTCACATATACGTGGGCACAGACAGAGACCCGCAGACGCTTCGTAGCTGCTCCATCCCAACTCTATCCTCTGCATTTCGTAGGAAGATCAGATGCATATGCTCTGAAGGTGCTATCGGCCTTGTGACATCCCTCGATGCGATCGAGGAAACTGAAGAAACTAAAAAAATAAAATAAAAATAAAAAAGCCAAACCCGACATTACTGTAGGGCAGAGTCGCCGACCGCAAGAGCGGACGTCGGAAGAAGGGTCCGACGAGTGTTGCACTGCCACCGACGCTTACTTCCGTCGCTTTACTCGTCTCAGGTTGGTCTCAGGGCACCATTTACAACAGCGAGTAAAACTAGGACTTCACAAGGTTCGTACTTGGATCATAAAATGTTCGCTTCATAAAATGTTCACTTTTCGTGCCCAGATCTGGACGGCGAGGACAAGAGAAAAGCGACCTTTGGCTTTCAGCTTTGAGACTGACGAGGAGGCTTTTCGCGCCTATTCTTGGATTAAATCATCCCCGACGGACTGCGGGTGTTTCCGAACGTGTTTCCTTGTGAGTTTGAGTCGCGCTCGAGATGTAACTGAGATGAATTTTAATTGTAGTAGAGGCAAAGGAGGTATCCAGAGAATGAGGTACATGTACAGCGATGAAAGAGCCACAAGGTTGACGAGACATGAAGCTCACTTCATGCCAAGCTGCTCGAAGGTAACGTGGTGAGACCCACCCGTGCACGTATACCCCGTTGCAGTCTTGACGAACTCGTATCCCGACGAGCACGTCGTCAGATTCAGCTTTTCCATAGTCTCCTTGATCAAGTCCTGCATCTTGTCGTCCGCAACAGGTGGCGCGGCCTCCACACTCGGCGGTTTACTAGCGCGCGCCTCATCTTCCCTCGCCTCTCTTTCTTTTCGTGCCTGGCGCTCCTCCTCCCTCCACTTCCGAGCTTCCTCTCTCGCCTGTTTCGCCTCTGCCCTCTCCCGCGCTTCCTCCTTTCTGGCCTGCCGCTCTTCCTCCCTCCACTGCCTTTCCTCGTCTCTCGCCAGCTTCTCGTCCGCCTCCCTCGCCTCCCTATCCGCCGCCTCCTCCGCCTCCGCCTCCGCCTCTTCCCGCGCCTCGCGCTCGGCCTCCTCTCGCGCCTTCAACTCGACCTCCTCCTTTTGCCACGTCGCGGACACCTCCACGGCGAGGCTGCGCGCCGTGCGCACCGTGGGGTACTCCGCGACATGGAACACCACGTATGGCTGCGCCCCCGCGCGCACGCGCACATTCGGCGCAACGTGCTGCACGTCGAGGAAGTGGCTCCACTGCTCGCCGCCCCCGTTGCACTTCACCGCCAGCGCCGTCGCGAGGCAGCGCGCAGCGGCCGCGTCGACCATGCGCGGCGCGTAGCCCGCGCTCGCGCGGTACACGCCGGTCGGGGCGGCCCCGGGGACGACGCCCGCGGACAGCGCGGTGCTCGTAAGGAGGACGTCGGTCTGGACGGTCGCGTTGCCGTCGTCGCCAGTCGTTGCATATTTGACCATGTAGGTGAGCGCGAGGAGCGTCGGGTTTGGGGTGGGTGGGACGGGCACGGGGACGCAGAGTGTCCAGGTGTCGTCGCGGAGCGTGTTGGCGGCGAGCGCGACGACTGGTTCCTCGTGGAACGACGCGTATGTGTGCAGGAGCACTTCGTCTACATCGTCTTCGTGCTCGGGCGGGTAACTGGTGAACAATTCGCCGCCAGTACGGGGAAGGAGCGGGCAAGTGTCTGGCCGCTGGGTACTATGGCTGGAGCTTGGCCTGCGATCATGCAAATGGGCGCCGCTGACACGGGAGCGATGGGAAAGGATGCCGCGGTTGCAGCGATGCCTGTTGAACGGAGCTCGGTGCGTCCTCGCCGACATAATTTGCTGGTGCGAGGTTGAATGCGTACGCTGCAAAGGAGCTAGAGATGGAAGCGACGATGGACGCGGAGGGCGAAAGACAGAAGGAGGTGAGCGAGAGCGAAGAAAAGATCTTCGTTAATGTAACAAGTCCACCCGTGTTACAGTGTAGGCTTTATACTCTTTCGAAAGCCGATACCTACGGGCGAAGCCATAAGCAAGCAAAATGACGGATGTCGTAGAATCTATTCGTGCGGGCGAAATGGGCAAGATCGATTATCCAGCGCCAAAAGAAGCGCGCAGACAAAGGGCCGGTTAGCGCGTGCAAAAGAGTGCTGAGTAAATTCAGCACGAACCCAAGTTCCAGGGTGAGTGGGCGACATGGTCTGGGAGCGCAGGTGCGATGGTGGTCGGAACGAATGAAGTAAGTTTGTGGTAAGTTGAACTATTGTAAAATGGTTAAACATTTCCTCCGATCAAGGGCCGCGAGGTTCCATGGCTAGCGCCAGAGGCTGCATGACCAGCACAACAGCGTTTTACGCCGACATTGTGCCTATGTTAATCCAATTCATCACGTCTAGTACCACCTC